TTTCTTTTTAGGTTGGGGCTTGAGCCACATGAGCTAAATTTATCTTCATGATATAAATACAAGTCTATGTGTGACTTGTGTTGCCTGGCCAATGGGGGACAATCTCATTCTTATCTTATCATGCTTAGGAGGGCTATTTGTCTTGCCATGAGATTTTCAACAAATACTTATTTAGCACCTACTTTTGTAGCTGTTCAGTCACGTTCAGCTCTTCATGACCCCATTTGGGATTTTCTTGGCAGAGACAGTAGAGTGGTTTACCATTCCCTTCTCCAGCTCGTTTTACAGATGAGGAAATGGCAGTCAATAGGATTTAAGTGACACAGCTGGTAAGTGTCTGAGGCTAGATTTGAACTCAGGAAGATGAGTCTTCTTGACTCCAGGCTGGAGATTCTATCTACTGTACCACCTAGCTGGTCTAGCACCCACTACATGAATTTCAAGTCATAAGATACACAGCTAAAAGGTTTATTGCAACATTACTTTACCAATGAGGAATCTAGAGTTCAATGACATCCAAGGTTTCAAATTCAGATCATCTGGTTCCAAATATTGTAATTTTTCATAACTGTAATATATTAAAGTCTTACACAATCTATGTATATGTCCTGTTACTGGTTAACTCTTTAAGGGTTGAGACTGCATCTTACAGATCTCTCCAATGCCTTGTCCATTACCCTGCAAACAGCAGGTACTCAATAAATGTATATTATTGTATATGATGCATTATAGGATTCTCCCCCTCCCCCTCAATTTATAGGAAGGAAACTATTAAAGTTTAAGCATTGTTTCAAATGACTAGACTGAATGCCAAATGCTCAGTTGGGTCAATGAACCCAATATTTCAGGAACTATTGATCCACCATATATCAGTTCACTAGGAGGTATAGAGAGAATGTTGGAATTTCTTTGGCCTTAGTATTGTCATGTGATTGGTTTATTGCTTCAGGAATTTAAAAGCTGTCAGAGATCAGATTATAATATGGCAGAAAGCTGTAGAGCTAATTAAGATACAATTTTGGAAAGATTAAGCAAGGATTGGATAGGATGTGTATGTATGTGTGTACGTATGTGCATGCATACATGCGTGTGTGTGTGTGTGTGTGTGTGTGTGTGTGTGTATTTTGGAGGATATGGGAAGTTGTAGAATATCCCTTCAAAGAGAAGAATATGGTAGAATGTTTATTTCTCCTGTTTGGAAACAAGATTATCATGGAGCTACACTTTGCCTATGCAGGTACACATAGGGTGTCCATGATCTTTTTCACTTCCAGGTAAATCTACGTTAATGGAATAGAAAAGCATCTAGGTATGACAGTACACACCTATAATCCCTGTTACCAGAAAGACTGAAGCTGGTGGATCTCTTGAGCCTGGCAGTTCTGAGTTGCAGTAGGTTAAGCCAATAGATGTCTATACTAAGTTTGACATTGATACGGTGAGCCCAGGGGCCACCAGGATGATGGAGGAGGAAAGAACCAGCTCACATCAGAAATGGATCAGGTCAAAGCTTCAGCCACACTGATCAGTAGTGGAAACAGGCCCACGAGTAGCCTCTGCACTTTCAACAGAGGCAAAATAGGGAGACCCAGTCTTAAAATGAATGAAAGAATTAAAAAATGAATGGACAAATGAAGAAACAAAGAAATAAAGAGAACCACAGGCAGAGAAAACATCCTTCATTCCCTTTTCCTTTCTTCCGATGCCGAGGGACAAAGGGATTGTTAGGCTAGACAGAGGGAGTGATTCACTGGGGACACTCAGGAAGCCACCTGGCTGTAGATTGTGTTCCTGGGCATATAGGAGAAACCAAACTAGCCTTTCTCAGCAAAGTTCTTTCCAGAGCATTCACTGTTACATAATAAGAAGATATTTCCCCAGAATGTTCACCAACCTCAAATGTTTTCAGAGAATTAATCTGCAGTAGCTTTGCAGCCTAAAGCCCAGCTTCAGGGCTGGCAGGGCTGAAAGACCAGACCAGATATGAGTCTCTTCTAGGATTCTATTGTTTCAGTTGATTAGTCAATCAACACGCATTTCTTAAGTACCTACCTAGCAGGGCACTGAGCCAGTAAGGGGTGCAAAGACAAAAGTCAAACTGTCTCTGCCCTCAAGAGCTTCTTCTTCTTCTTCTTGTTTGTCTTTCATTCTCAAAGAGGACCATGACATCAGAGAGGTGATGCCATGACATGCAAGTGAATTGGATTTAAGTGAGGAGGGACTATGCAGTCACCAGCCTCACTTTTTCCTCCTGAGTCATCTAAGTCCAGTGTCCGGATATAGATAAGGGCAATTGGAGATGGCCCAGGATGCAGTGGGGGACTTTGGCCTTTTCAAGCTAAGGTCTTTAACAGGTCTCAGTCTGACTGAGGCAATGCCCATTCAGTGATTAAGGTTTAATAAGAAAAGAAAGAGCTTACTTTCACATGCAATGGTGAGACAATATGCATGTATTATGTGTACCTCTCTCTCTCTTTCTCTCTCTCTCTCCCTCTCTCTCTTTCTCTCCTTCTCTTTCCCTCCTTCTCTCTCTCTCTCCCCTTCTTTATCTCTACCTCTGCCTCTATTTCTATCTCTCTCTGTCTCTGCCTCTATCTCTGTCACTGTTTATCTCTGCCTTTACCTGTCTCTGTCTCTATCTCCATCTTTATCTCTCTACATCTCTATCTATATCATCGATATAAAACAAACACAAGGTAACTTGGGATTATTTTTTTAAAAGAAATCTATTACCCATTGTATGTTCTAGATCTAGTAGTATAAATACATGTCTGGGTTAAGTGAAATGTTGTACGTGTGATTATGTGGATAATTTGTGTCCACATCCCCCAAACTCCTTCTCCTGCTCCAAACATTTCTCCATATAATTCAAGCCAAATTGTAGTAGGTTTGTTCTGAACTACCTGGGAGGTCATAGGCAGGGTCATCTATGGTTAGAGTTCTTAAGGAGTCTATAAGGAAGGTCTATAGAATTCTTAATAATTCTTTGATGCTCAATTGTACCAAGAGCTACTATTTGTTAGCACTCCCAGCAGCACGAAGTAACCTAAAATGGTTCAATGTGTCTTTTATGATTATTCTTAGGTTATGTCTATACCATCGAAGCAGAAGGTTGAGCTTTGCCCTATCCTCCTCAATCTTAATGCTTTCCCTCCGATACTTTCCCTAACCCTGCATATATCTTGTTTATTCATAACTGTTGCCATGATCCTTCATTAGACTGTGACCTCCTTGAAAACAGGGACCATGTAACTGACTTTATCTGATACCCAGAGCTTAGCACTGTGTCTGGCACATAATAGACCTTAATAAAGGCAGCTAGGTGGCACAATGGATGGAGTGCTGAGCCTGGAATCAGGAAGATCTGAGTTCAAATCTGGCCACAGACACTTGTTGTGTGACCCTGCGTGGGTTACTTAACCCTGTTTGCCTCAGTTTCCTCATCTGTAAAATGAGCTGAAGAAGGAAATGGCAAATCACTCCAGTATCTTTGTCAAGAAAACTCCAATTAGGGTCAAGAAAAGTCAGAAACAGCTGAAATGAGTGAACACCAACAACAATAAAGGTCTTAATAAATGCTAATTGATTGAATAATTCCATCCGTATTTTGGTAAGCTGTAGAGATGTGTGTGTGTGTGTGTGTGTGTGTGTGTTGAATGTGGCCCCAAAATGCATGAGAGTAGCACTGCTTATCACTTTACCATACTTATTTTTGGGGGGAGATAGTCAATGGGGTTAAGTGACTTGCCCAGGGTCACACAGCTAGTAAGTGCTTTGTGTCTGAGGCTGGATTTGAACTCAGGCCCTCCTGAATCCAGGGCTGGTGCTCTATCCACTGCACCACCTAGCTGCCCCCACTTTACCCTACTTAATCACTTCACTTGAAACAGAACATAGACATGGATGTTGGATGCCAACATCTCCATCTTGCTAGTACTCAACACAAGACTTTAGAGGCATACAAGATAATAAGTAACTTTGCAATTTCTCTCCCTCCTACCCTATTTGGCATGAGGGTCTCTGAGTAGACAGAGTCTGTCCAAGACACAAAGAGCTCCTTCATTGTATCAAGGTCCCAAATATTGGAATTTCCTTTAATTTTTCTCTCTTGGCTAACTATATTAACAAATTCACCAGATGATTCTCATGATTTTGTAGAAGAGGCATTATTTATTATATATCCTATAAAAGTTTCATTTAGTGTCTTCCTTCTATTGATTATTTACAATTTATCCAGTATATAGCTTTATTTTTGGTACAGTCATTTACATGTTGTTTCCCTCATTGAGGGCAGGGACTGTCTTTTACCATTCTTTGTATAGTGTTCTTTGTACCCCAGTGCTTAGCATGGTATCAGGGGCATGATAATTTCCTAGTAAATGTTTATCAACTGATTGACTGACTAAACCCCAAAGATAAGTATATAATGTAGATTTTAAAAGACATCTATCTTTCAAAATAGTGGAGCAAATGAAAAATTGAATTCTTAGTGTATTTTGTGCTTGTTGAAAGATAGGGCATTTTGTAGGATTATGCTTAGATACAACATTTTACATTTGCAAATGGAATCTTGCAGACAACATAAAGACATTTTAACTGGGATATATCATCCCCTTTGTTAAGAACCATGTTTCTTCCAATAATATCATTCTCAACAAAAACCAAAATGGAAAGAGTGATTTGGGAATGAGAACACCTGAGTTCAAATCCTACCTCTGTCAGTGACTCCCCATGTACTACTTGGACAAGCCATTTCCTCATCTATAAAAGGAGAGGATTGGATCCAATGACCTCTGTTGTCCATTTCATCTCTGTATCTTTCTGTATTTCAATTTTCAATTTGACCTTATTTCCTGAAAAATCTAAGGTCATATTATGAATCACTCTTTTGTTTAATAACACTCCTCAGAAATTCTAGGGACAGAAATTGGAAAGAAGAATAATTTTTGATCATAGAGTTCTGAGAATTCAAATTCCATGGGTCTAACTTTAAGCCACAAAATTAGCATATCATCAATCACAGAGTTTAAATAGCTGGGAAGCAGAAGTGGACAACATCACTTCCATCAGACCACTTCCCTCTGACTCAAGGTAATATTTATATGTATTTTCTTATTCTTTCTTCTTGCCTAATCTTTTTTGTTCCTGTGTTAAGAAGTATTCATAGTTTGTGGATGAAAATGAGCAAATTGCACCAATAATTTCTTCTTATAAATGTAATTTGAGCGAAGTTAAGCTTTTTTTCAAGGTTTGCAAATATTTGTACGACCTTGAGGTTTTAGGTAAGAAATTAATATGAGTTGGTCAATGATAAATCCAGTGTGATGACTTTCTAATTACCAGTTATATCGATAGCATATTACAGGTTAAGTAAATTGTATTAATAATGATACCAACAGTAGTAATAATAATAATAATAATAATAATAATAATAATAATAATAATAATAGCTAGTATTCATATAGCTTTTTAAGACTTGAATGTATTTTACATACACTCTGTCAAGGGTCAAGGGGAAGCAATAGTTATGCATTATACATTTCTAGATTCTAGTAAGGTTTAAGGTTTTTTTTTTTTGTCAAGTTCAGCATTATGTCCTTGGAGAGCATGGACTAGATCATGGTAGCCGCTAGGTAAACTCAATTTGTTAGAAATGACCAGGAGCCACCTAGTGGAGCTTCATGAGAATAGCTCCTGGACCTGGCATTGACAGTTAAATTGCTTTAATAATGACTTAGAGAATTTGCCCACGAAATTCAACAAGTACATCAAACTGAGTAAGAGTGACTGAAAAATGAGGTTAACCTAGTTTGGTTATCAGCATGAAGAGAGTGCTGCCCCTAGACTCAGAATATCTGGATCCAAATCCTGGCTCTGCCATTGATTTGGCCAAATTCTTTCCCTTCCCTTTCCTTTCCTTCCACTCAGGCTTCAGACATATAAAATGATGGATTATGCTAGGCAGCTAGGTGGCACAAAGGATGAAGTGGGAGGCCAAAAGCCAGGAAGACCTGAATTAAGAAGCTAGTCTTATATACTTACTAGATGTTGATCCTGGGCAGGTCACTTAACTTCTGTCTGCCTCAGTTTCCTTATCTGCAAAATGGGAGTAATACTATATCAACCTCCCAGGGCTGTTATGAGGATAAAATGAGATCATACTTATGAAACACTTTGCAAACCTTAAAGTGCTGTGGAAATCCTAGGTCTTCTTCTTAATCATTACAATCATTAGACCATTAAAGGTCCTCCTGCCTCCAAATCTATGGTCTTCTAAGGGATAAAAACAGACTGAAAATCTGTGACTGCATCTTATGGACAATGCATCCTAGGTTTCTTTCAGTTTTAAAAGTTTTTTTTTTATTTTAAAATTGTGCCTTTTGAAAGGTGTATATATAAAGTACAGTATACATATTTAATCTAGCTTCAATCAATTATTCAATCAGCCAAAAAGCATTTATTAAGTGCTTACTATATACAAGACATTGTGCTAAACACTGTGGAATAAAAAAGAATAAAAACAGTTGCTGCCCTCAAGGGGCTTACATTGGACACAGCATCTAAATAACTGGCCACATGGGAATAGGGGGTAGTTATTTTTGGAGGGGAGGGTACTCACAGCAGGGGCAGAGAGTAGGACCTCCTACAGAAAGTAGGATCTAAACAGAGACTTGAAGGAAGACAGGGGAGCTAGAAGGCAGAGATGAAGTGGAAGACCATCCCAGGCATGGGAATTGCCAACTTCAAAGCCACAGAGATAAGGGATGGAGCGTTGTGTCTCAGGAAATGCAAATTGGTCATTGTCACTGGATTGTACAGTGTGTAACATGGAGCAAAGTGTGAGAAGAGTGATAAGGTAGGAAGGGACCAGGTTAGTCAAAGCTCGAAATTCCATTCAAAAGACTAGATTTGATCCTGGAGGTCATAAGGAGCCACTGATGTTTACTGAATATGTGTATCAGGTTAGAGTAATATGGGCAGACCTTTGCTTTAGAAAAAAATGGAGCTTTCCCACTGAGTAGGGGATAGAGTAAGGAAAGAATTTGGGTCAGGGAGAGCAATTAGGAGTTTGTTGTAGCAGTGTGGGTGAGAGGTGGTGAGGGCCTCAACTAGAGTTGAGCTTATACAAGTGGAGTGAAAGGAATATCTATTAGGAATGTTATGAAGGTAGAAACAACAAGATTTGACTTTCCTGGAGTTGCACTGCTATTGAGTGTCTGAGGTAGGATTTGAACTCAGGTCTTCTTGACTCTAAGTCCAGTGTTCTCTTCCCAACTTCTCTGAGATGTTGTTACAGAGATCAGCATTTCCTGGGCAACCATTTTCCAACCACTCAAGTCTACTGACAAGACTGGAAATATCCACTTCTAAGTTGAGATCCAGGCTTAGGCAAGTAAGCCAGTGCTCCCTGTGGGCCACCATCGCTGTTGCTTCCTCTTTCCCCTGCCTACTTCTAGCTTTTATGGAAGAGATTCCTAGTCTTGAGGAATAGAGTAGAACACAAGCAGGAGTCTTACTAGAGAGGGGAAGTTCTCAATATTTCTACGAGTTAAAGTAGTAAGAATATACTCCTATTTCTGGAAGTCCAAGGGAAAGTTGGTACAGATGTGTCCCAAAAGAACATTGGCTGACCGAGAGAGGGAGCTTTTCCAACTCTCTCTCTCCAAATGCCTTCAAAGCTCAGCTCAGCTGCCATCTCATACAGGAGCCCTAGAGGATCTCCCCAAGTGTTCATGGGATCATAAGAGCATAGACTTCTTTTTCTTTTTCTTTCCCTTTTCTTTTATTTTTTGGCTAGGCAGTGGGGTTAAGTGACTTGCCCAGGGTCACACAGCTAATAAGTGGCATGTGTCTGAGACCGGATTTGAACTCAGGTCTTCCTGAATCCAGGGCCAGTGCTCTATCCACTGCACCACCTAGCTGCCCCATAAGAGCATAGATTTAGCGCTAGAAGGTTTATCCAGTCCATCTTCTCCCTCTTCTCCATTTTACAAACAAGAAAACGGAAGCCCACAGGAGGTCGTCCCCCTCTTCAAACTGCTTAGTAGAAATACTTCTCTGTTTTTGTTGTACTGAACAGATCTAGGTAGTAGAACTATGAATATCCATATCAAATCCCCAGATCAGAAGCTTATATAAAAATTGATTCTCTGAAGGACCCTTACTTTTATTTGCTAGGCAAAAATACACAGTTTAGGAGAAATGAATGTGAAATCAGTAGCACCAACACAATCTCTGATTTCTCATCTCTCCTTTCCCAGGTCTCAGACACGATGAAGCTGCTCTTCTTCTCCTGCCTAGTGGCTCTTGCTCTGGCCATGCCAGTAAGTATAACGAAGTGTTTAGAGAGACTTCTTTTCTTACCAGGGAATAGGAGCCGCTGCAGCATCTGGGTAGGAAACCAAACAATAGGACTTTGAAGCTTAGAAGTTCACATTATTTTTTGTCTTCCATTAGCCACTGAGGCATTTAGACAAGAAGCGGGCTAATGGCTTCTCTTTTGGGTATTGTTAATTACAATTGAAGTGTTCCAATTCAGAGAGTACAATGGTAAGACTAGTTATTATTATCATTGTTTTGTGCCTTAGTGGCAGGGACATGGAAATTTGACTTCTAGGAAACTATTATATGATATAAGTGCGTATAATATAGTTTAATATACATCATATATCATATATATTATATAGTGGTTTGAGTTTTGCAAAGCACTCTACAAATATTATCTTCTTTTATCTTTATAAAAACCATAGGAAAAAGGTGTTATCTTCATCATCATTTTACAGAGGAAGAAATGAGTCAGACAGAAGTTAAGTGACTCACTCAGGGCTATATAACTTGTGAGTGTTTATGACTGGATTCCAGCTTAGGTTCTCTTAATTGCAAGTCAGCGTTTTATCCATTGTACTAACTAGCTGCCTCTCAAGAATAGAAGAATGGGCCAGAAAACAATTGAGAGACAGTGACAGAGGAAGAGAGAGTTGCTGAGACAGAGAAAGAGGGAGAAAAATATTCCTAAAGTTCCCTGACACTTTGCAAATCCGTGAACAAACCTGGAATATCATTGTGCTTTCAACATTCTTCCATTTGAGATGGTTCTTCCAAAAATTTCAGTATTGTCTCACACACACACACGCACACACACACACACGGACACATATGCGCACATATAGACTCGTTTTCCCCTTCCCTTACTTAGATGTTTCATCAAAAGTATTTTCATGGAAAGTCAGTGATATTAACTATTCAGACAATGGCTTCCGTACGCGTCCTTGTAACTTGGTAAATTTACACAGTATAAAGTGAAATAGAAGACACAAAAAAATGGATGGCTAATTCAGCCCCTTCCCCCCAAAGTGTTTCTTCCTTGTTCTGGGTAATTGACACTAAAGCAACAGATTTTTTATTGTTTATTTTTGTTGGAATTTTTCAAGTAATTGTCTCAATTATCTGCTATGTTTAAGAAGTAGGAAATATTAAAATTGTTTATTTCTTATATACTCGTGAATAAAAATTATATCGAGTCTCTTTTATTTTTCCCTAGGATGCCCTCCATTTATCTGCTGATGTAAGTATCTTTCACTTAAAAGCCTTTAATAGTAAAACTTTTGTTTACATGTATATATATTGCAGGTGTGTGTGTGTGTGTGTGTGTGTGTGTGTGTGTGTGTATGTATTGTGGCCTTTTGGAGCTGATTTCTTCCATCTGTAGCCCATATGATGTATTCACCTTTCTCTTCCTGCTACTAGCTTGTCCTCTTTATTCATTATCCCATTCTGGATTCTAAGATAATCAAATTCTTATCTTTCTACATTAATTACTAAAATAGCAACATATTTCTTATTTGTAAACAATTAGCTCCCAGACTCCATTCCAGTTTATGAAATATATTTTAAAAAATAAGCTGGAGAAACCATTTTTCTCATAAGCTTTTGCTCATTTCTTTCTCTATATAGACTCTCTAATCTCCTAGGTTTGAATAAACAGCAACAATAATAGACAATAAAATTTATTAGCAGAGTAACAAATAGGTAACAAAATAAACACAGAAGCAATTATTCACGACATAGCAGCTGAGAGGAAGATGGCAAGCACAAACCATCACTATTACTGCTGACTTCTCAATTACGGAAACTGTTGCAACATTCAATTTTCTCAAGACAGCAATTTTTGTCTCTTCTCAACAATTCTCACGGGCAGCTGGTGGCGCAGTGGATAGAGCACTGGCCCTGAAGTCAGGAGGACCTGAGTTCAAATACGGCCTCAGACCAAACACTTGACACTTAACTAGCTGTGTGACCCTAGGCAAATCACTTAACCCCAATTGCCTAAAAAACAAAAAACAACAAAAAAACCCCAAAACAATTCTCCTCATACATATCTCTTTTCAAGAAAAGAGTTAGATTCATAATTTCAGGGAAGAACTTAGCCCTTTCTCTATTTCTCTCCATCTATTGTAATTAACCCTTCAAAATGAGTCAATTGCCCATCACTAGAGATTTTATTCCCTCTTAAGGGTACATTCGTTGTAGCCGTAGTCTTTGTGGGAAAGGCCAACATAATGAGTGTTACATATAAGCATTTATGTATGTCATATGTATATGGAGCATAGACGAAAGCTTGATATAATGGATAACGTGCTGGAGCCATAATAAGGAAGTCTGGAAGACCTGGAAAATACTGCCTAGAACTTTTTGTGTGAGTATAAGTGAATCAGTGAATCCCTAGGAACTTTCTGCAACTCTCTAAGCCGTATTTACTAAGCTAGAGATGGGTTGCAATACGCGGCGATGAAGCAAGTTTCCGTACCAATGAAATCACTTGCTTTTGACATATATGACGTGTTACATCTGAGCCCGCTCCCCGCTCACAAAGCCATTCCTTTAATCCAGACCTCATTACCTCTTCCAACGGCCTCCTAATTGGCCTCCCTTCTATACAGCTGCCAAAGGAGTTTTCATTAAACTCAGGTTTGACTATGTCACTCTACGGTTGCTGTTCAGTCGTTTCAGTTGCATCTGACTCTCTGTGACCCCCTTTGGGGTTTTCTTGGTAAAGATACTGGAGTGGTTTGCCATTTCTTTTTCCAGCTCATTTTACAGATGAGGAAACTGAGACAAACAAAGTTAAGTGACTTGCCCAGCGTCACACAACTAGTAAGTGTCTGAGGCTGGATTTGAACTCAGATCCTCCTAACTTCAGGCCTGCCATTCTATCCATTACACCACCTAGCTACCCTTTTATTCTACTACTCACTAAATTTTAGTGGCTCTCTATTATCCCCTAGGATCAAATACAGACTCTTCAGTTTAGTTTTTAAAAATCCTTCAAAACTTAGTTCCAACTTATATTTCCAGCCTTACTGTGTATATTGTTCATTCTTTCACATGCTGTAATCCATCAGATTGGCTTTCTTTTTCATCTTTACACACAGTGCTCAGTTTTCCTTCTCTGTGCCTCCATACTATCTGTCTCCATGCTCAGAATGCACTCACCGCTCACCTTGCCTCACAATCCTTCTCTTCCTTCAATGTGCAGCCTGAGCACTATATTCCACGTGAAATCTTTCCTGACCTTCTCCAATTGCTAATGCCTTCTCTCCCTAATTACTTTGTATTTATTTATTATCTGTATTTATTCTATATATGCATATTTACCTATCTGTCTTTCTGTCTCCCTGTCTCCCTGTCTCCCTGTGTCTATCTAACCATCCATCCGTCCATCCATCCATCCATCCATCCATCCATCCATCCATCCATCCATCTGTCCAATATTAATTATTATGTTTTCTCATTAGGATTTTAGCCCCAAGACAGTAAGAATTATTTTATTCTTTGTATTTGCATCTTCACTGCCTAATAGTGCCTGGCACACAGCAGATGCTTAATAAATGCTTGTGGATTGATTGATCTGTGAATGATGAATAAGTGACTCTATATACATATCTGTATATATGTATATGCACATGTGTATCTATCTATATGTACAACAATTTCTGATTTTTCTCTTTTTAATTTTTACGGAGACATATTAAACATCAGGAATTGGAAAGCCGCTTGGTAATTATTTTATTCTGTTAATAGAGGAATTAGTTATGATTGGTAGACTTGGAGAGATGATGTATTAAGAATGCACTACTGGAGTAAAAGGACCTACTCAAAGTTTAGAGTATGAGTCAATGTAAGGCTTTATTGATATTATAAGTCATGGCAAGGGAGAAAATGGTTAGCTCACACAGATAATCTGTGTGGACTATTTATTTATTTATTTTTGCTAGGCAATGGGGTTAAGTGACTTGCCCAGGGTCACACAGCTAGTAAGTGTCAAGTATCTGAGCCCAGATTTGAACTCAGTTTCTCTTGACTCCAGGGCCGGTGCTGGGTCTAGTTCTAGGACAGGGTTTCATGGCATCTTACAATCTTGTTCTTTGGACGCTGGTGATAACAAGGACATGTTAGGAAAGTCTTGGCTCAGTGATTTATATTTCTAAGGGGACCAAACATACACTGTATTCTTTAGAATTATATTCTTATAGTGATAACCATTAGCTTCTCAGAAAGATTGGGCTGAGTTGCTTTTGAATTCAAATACAATAGAGTGAACATGGCTTGCAGAATTTACTCTGAATATAGAGGTGTTGATGTTTTTGTCATATCCAACTCTTCATGACCCCATATGGGTTTTTCTTTAAGATACTGGAGTAGTTTGCTATCTCCTTCTTCAGCTCATTTTACAGATAAGGAAACTAAGGCAAACAAGGTTAATTGACTTGCCTAGGGTCACACAGCTAGTGATTGTCTGAGTCTGGATTTGAACTTAGGTTTTCCTGACTCCGGGCCCAGCACTTTATCCACGGAGCCACCTAGCTACCTACTGAACTGAAAGCTGGCTCTAAAATGGCTTTAACTTGTGTTAAGAGAGGGAAAATCCAGAGTCCCTCTCCCTTTGCTTCCATAGTATTTCCTACCCCCCCACCATTTAATTGCTATTCTCTATCCAACAGCCCTTTGTATACTTATCACAATACAATTTCTTGTGACAATACACCATCACAGCTACAGTTCAGTCTTAATAAGTGTTGAATCTGCTATTTTTAATTTAATTTTATTTCTTTATTTCTACTCATTTGGCCATTCTGCTAAGCAAGAGCAGGCTGGTAAGAAAAATACTTGCAGGCTGGTCAAAGCAAGAGGAAGTAGTTCACTGTGCTGATGAAGCTAGCAGGTGCAACAAGCCCTTTTTCCAGGGGGAAGGTATAGAGTTCACTCTGCAGAAAGGGGGAGCAGAGTCTCCTCCTCCTCTTCCCCACTTCAAGGCAGCTGTCAGGTTTCATTGGAAGACCTCTTGTTTCATTACCTGCCGCTTTAGTACTAGACCTAGGCCTTGCTAGAAATATTCCGTGGATTGAATGTTGGATGGAGGGGGTACCTCTGATTTCTCCTTTTATCTCGTAACATAAAGCGGTTTTACAGGTGACCCACTTCCCACTATGAAGCTTTGAACTCACATCCACCTTTTATCTCTTGCAGAATGAAAATGTCATTCCATTAAGCGAGGTGAGTCTTCCTGGTTGACAATCAGTGCCCCAGCACAGGGCAGAAAGAAATCGACTTCTTTTTCCTTCCTTTGTTTTATGTTATCCTGCCAGCTGCTTTTGGAGGGGGAAGAGGAAGGAAGGGAGATAAACGATCAGGTCTCCAAACTGGAATTGTCCACAGTGCTCTTGCTTAGGATTTAGCCAGTGGGTATCGAGTGCCCACTGTGTGCAGAGCATTATCTGGAGACCTCTTTTGTCCAGGTGCCTAGATCATAGGGTCCATTTTCTACTTTTCTTTGTCAGTAGAAAGGAGGCCAGTAAGGGTCCCAACGAGGTTGAAGTCATCTAACAAGACCAAATACAATATGGCATCCTGGGAAGATGGCAGAATAGGTCAGCCCTTTGCAGGTTCTCCAGATTTATTTCACAAACAGACAGAAAATTGCCACGAAATGAATATAGAACAGCAAAAATACAGGCTTAAAGCAGTTGTCCTTCTAAGACAACTTGAGAGGACCTCAGAAAAGATATGACCTCCAGGGGCTGAGATTTGGCCTGAGTGAAGTATAGACCAAATGAAATAGGAAATGAGACATTTTGTAGGTGGTCCAGTGTTAAACACAAAACTGTAATCTCGTGGGGTGGCATTCTCTTTATGAGGTACTCTTTTCATACTCTGCCCCCTTTATATTGTCCTACAATAATATCTCATCCACGTTGTGATTATTTTTCCTAATTAGAGCATTATGAATACCTTTTGTTTCAGCAACACCTTCATTTGCAAACATTACCGCCACCACTCCCTCCTACCTCCAGCCCAGTGAGCCCTCCCGGTAACAAAGAATAACAGAAGCAGAAAAAGGCGGCTCAATAAAAATCAACTGTTGCTATCAGCTACCCACAGGCCCTCACCTCTGCAAAGCTGGGGTGGGGGGCAGGCATATTCTCACCTGGTCTTCAGGGCTAAGTGTCTTGGTCAACTCTGCAAATGCTATGATTTCCCATCATTTGAGAAACCAGTTCTTGCATAAGAGGCCTCTAGATTTTTCTGTCAACGGAAATGGTCCCAGAGATCCAAGAGGTGACACAATTTCAAAGGAAAGAAAGAATAAAAAGTAATCTACTCCTTCTTATTCTTTGCAGGTTTCATCAAGCGAGGTAAGACATCTGGATCCCAAGCCTGTCATGATACTAGGCTACCCAATCTTTTCCTACTATTTTATGGCAACAAAGGCCAAGTCTACAAAACCAGAGAGAAATGAAAGTAGGAAAAAAATCTAGCAAATGTGGGGGGATAGATAATTTTAATATGAATTTTTCTAAATTAAACAGAAATTCTGTCCCAAATTTCCAAAGAATTCTTCCTCTCTCTTTTCACATTGGTCATGTAGATTCAAGTGCCATCTTCTATAATGGCTGTATTCCAAACCAATTGTCCCATTTTTGGTTAAATCCTAAGCATGGACTCACAGGAATTCAAGACAATTGGACCTTGAAATAAATAGTTAGGTTCTACCTGGTACATACGTATATTGTCTTTTATGATCCATTTGTGCTCACTTGACCAAAGAAAGTGTCTCCAGCAATGACTGGGTGAGGATATGGGTGAAATCTACAGCCATTGAAGAAAGTAAAGTGAATTGGTTTTGAGGGCATGATTTCTTTACCTTGGTCTCATAAGACAGTGGTCTAGCCCACTGTATTGGCCAGATACAAGTACATGTTTTATTGGCACTCAGTAGCCTCAGGCTAGTCTCCAGTGAAAAGGGATCTCTAGTGAAGAGTAGAGGTCCTTATATCCTGAAGTCCTTTGCTGAGCTACTCCTTTCAGAATCAACTGGGCAGAGGGATGCAGGTCTTTGTAAAGGCATCGGGCTTTCATGCCCAATCCTGGCACTTTGTAGTCAGGTTTCCTGGGCCAGAGTAGATGGACTTAGAGCACTAAAGCTGATTTTGTCTTTTCTAAGGAGTCTTTCCACCAGTTGAACAGAGACAGATACCCCTTGGAAGAATATGAGCTTGACAAATCCAGAGAGGTAAAAATTATCTTCAAACTTAATGAAAACATTATCATTAAAGGGAAAACAATTTTTGTTTGGAAATGGGGCTTAGCCAGTCCTTATTTTTCTGTGTCTATAGAGGGTTTTAGTTGTTGTTTGGTGCATGTTTAAGCTTTTAAATCTTCAGCTTCTAAAGTGTAGGACAGATAACAAGAACAAAATCAAGGTATTTTGCTAGTTTACTCTGGGGATTCTTTAAATCAAAGGATCTCACCTTCAAGCTTAAGCTTTTAAAGCTTAAATCTGCATTAAGATTTTTGAAAGGATCATTTGTCTATTCAACCATAGTGAATACTGATTTATGCTCTTTGAGTTCTCAAATAGACTAATATTATTGCCTATATCTGCAGTATACCTATATGCAGGGAGGAGGTGGGCAAAGACAATGGTTTTTGTTTGTGTTTTGGCAAGAGGCTAATTTTATTGTTTAGTCATTTTCAGTCATATCTGACTCTTCATGATCCCCTTTAGGGTTTTCTTGGTAAAGAAGTGGTTTGCCATTTCCTTCTCCAGCTCATTTTGCAGATGAGGAAACTGAGGCAAACAGGGTTAAGTGACTTCCTCAGGCTGACACAGGTAGCAGGTGTCTGGGGCTGGATTTGGACTTAGATCCTCCTGACTCCAGGCCTGGCACTCTATCCACTGCAGCGGCACCTAGTTGCTCTAAGAGGCTGATAGAGCATTGCATTTAATGGCCATGATACAGTGCCATGCATACACTTTCTGGTTACTCTTTCATTCCCTGCCAGTCAGTACATGTGTCATTGGGGCGGTACAGAAGAGCTCTTAAAAGGTGCTTCCCATTGAGAAGGACCAATGGGGCCTGGGAGAGTGCATTATTATCTCCTGCATCATCTTTAGTTTTGTGTTCATTCTCTTTTCTTGACAGGACTTGAAGACTTCATCAAGCGAGGTGAGACCTGTTCATTTAATGAGCCCCCAGAGTTAACCAACAAAATGCTCCACTGTTCTCTTCCCTTTGTCACACTCTTGGGTAGTCCAAGATTGCTGCAAGCCCTGTTACACATTTCTTGGGGGGTTGTTTGTGCGTTTTTTCAGGGCAATGAGCCTGGTATTTTAAATTTCCTGATGATAAAATGTAATATAAGCAATATATTTAATGATAATTAAGAATTAATGATATTGGAGGGAGCAAATAATCTCAGACCTGTTGAGTACTGTGCTTTTGGTTATCTAGTGGATTTCAACCCACAGTTTAAGAAGTGCTGGGGTCACGAGTGGAAAAAGTTTAAGAAACTCTGAACTACAATATCTGGGCTAAAGCAAAGAATTATCTCAATGTTCTATTTTTATTAGCACACAGAGACTAGGCTAATAACTACTGCATTTGTGAGTTTGTCATAAAATTAAAATTGTTTCTTTTTTTTCTCTTCCAAAGGAATCTGTCACTCCATCTACTGAAGTAAGACAATTTAAATGCATGAAAAGATCTTGAAATTCTCTACTGATTTCATCTGTAGTATTTGTAAAACACTTCATTCTGAATGGAAAAACCTTCACAGAGGTCTTAAGTGAACTTCAGATAACCTAATTTTGCTTCGTTATATTGCCAAAATATTTTTACTATTGAAAGAATGTTATTTGGAAAAAAATATCCTACCTCCTCCAAAATATTTATTCTGTTTTTTTTTCCAATTAAGCCATGATTTCTGATGACAATGGATACCAAGGGATCTCTTTGGGAGGGTAATTTTTGTTGATGCAATTGGTGCTATGTCTCAGGAAGTCAAGCAGGCAATAGTTTGTACTGGGCTGGAAGCTATCTGGTCCTGGTTTGCAAGGAATGGTGAGAGACCATCTGGTGGTGGAGCATAGAAGTTGCTGCCTCTGTTGGCCACACGATCAGAGGTGAATTAAACTCATGGGAGCAGGTCTAGCTCTCCCTCACCTCCAGGGTTTGTCCTTCAAGACCCTAAGAGAGAAAACAATTGTAGTTAGCATTTATATAGTGCTCTAAGGTTTTGTAAAGCAATTTACAGGTATTATCACATTTTATCCTACTTCAGGCTCAGGGTAACCTAGCTGGCAAAAGCCCAGGCCACTGCAATGGCTTCACTTTTGATACAAGAAAATTTGTTTTAAATAGGAACGTGTCCGCAGAGAGGTTGGATACACCTTCATCAAGGTAAGGTGTCACACTGTGTGATAAGTGGGAAGCCACATCTCTCTCTTTCTCTCTGTACTTGAAGTTGTATCCACCAGAAGCTTAACTCTATGACTATTTGCAGAGACAGCTCAACTTGGAACTCTTGAGGGCTCTTTCTACTCTAGATCTGTGATCCTGTGGTCCTTCCATTATTTCCCTACACGATAATTCCCCAAATCCTGTTATCTTGAACCATCGCCCTAGGGAAAACAGCAACAGCAACAACAATGACAGTAACAGCAGCAACAACAGCGAGAAGAACAAGAACAAAACCGTCCCATCCCCCAGCTTGCCTTGACGTCTTCGCTGGGACTTTGGTCTCCATCTTCTTCAGCCTTTTTATTCACTTCTTTGCCTTCCCTTCCACCATGTATTTAGGATACCTACTCTGTTATGAGTAAATTTCTCCCCATCTTTTATTTTTGATTTAACATTTCTTTGTCCTTCCTGTCACTAGCTAAAACTTGGATATTGCTTTGGGATGCCACACCCTTAGTCACCCTGGCCAAAAGACACATTTCTTCCAGCCTCTCCTCTACGCTGTCTTGGGGGAGTGGGAAGTGCGCTGTTGGGACGTAGTGGAATGGATTTGCTAGCTCCTTGTTCTCCACAGTCTCTTCCAAACCATCCATCCACTGCAGTCACTTGACAACCTCATGCCATCAGAATATTATGTTACTACACATTCTTCCCATTCTTGTCAGTGCCATCTCCCCACATTAGACAGCCTTCTCTGATTATTTCAGCCCCTGACTCAGATTTCTTTCCAGTCCATTATACTCAATGACTTCAGTGTCTATATCCAGAACCTTTCTAATACTCGTATGTCATAGTTTCTTGACCTACTCAACTCTAATCTACCTCATTGAACTCTTGATTTGTTATACTCCAAAAATATTAATCTCTGAAATATCTCTTTCCTCATACCACAATATCCTGTCTTTCTCTCTTTCTTACTTACTCTCCTGATAAACTTGTTATTTATTCTCAACCCTTTTTTATTCAAGTCCATCATTCTTGATCCTCCTGACTCCATACTTGACCAGGACTCAGCCATTTCCATGACAGGTTCACCACTGCCCTGGAATCTCTCTACCTTCCCATCCCTTCCCCAATAATTTCCTATCCTGGGTTACTTACTCACCAATTTTCTTCGCATTTTCTCCCAATCATTGCCAGAAAAAGTCATGAAACCATATGGCTTTTTCCTTTGTAGATTAATGATGCACAACCTCAATGTTGCTTAACAATTCATCTATCATGGATGGGCTCCCTTTCTCACTTTCCACAGTGTGTGTTTCAAACTCTCTCCTCTGTTCTCCCCAAATCTTCGACTCTATTCCTTCCCTTCCCTCTCAGCCAGAGTGGTCTGATGCAGTGCTCACAACTTCCTTTTTTCAATACTTCCCTTTCTTTGCTCCTCCATTGCTCCTGCTCTCTGATATCTGAATAAATACCTCTCCTTCTGGCCATGGTCACCCCACTCACTCAATCCCATCCCTCCTGCATCCTACAAAACATCACTCCAGTGATTAGTTTTTGTTGTTTCTTGCTTGTTATAGGATCATAGACACAGAGCTGGACAGGACCTTTGAGGTCACTTAATCCAACTCCTTCATTTTGCACTCAAAGGAAGAGAGGATAAATGACTTCCACAAGGACATTTGGGTTATAAGTGGCAGGATTTGAACCCAGATCCTCTGACTTCAATGTCACAACAGTTTCTTCTGTGCTATTTCCCCTCTAACTATCTATACCATCTCTCTGCAGTCTACTTATCTATTTAGCCAACTCTTGGCCTTAGTCTCCATAATTCTATCTATAAAATAGGTATATTAGTATGCTCTACATTTGCATAATGCTATACAGTTTAGAAAAACATTTGCACATTCAGGGTCAAATACAACACTAGATAATCATTGAATTTCCTTCTAGGCTTAAAAAACTATGAGTCCAATCTTATAAGTAATATTGACTTTTTCTTTCATTACAGGAGGGTTCTTCTGCCTCAAGGGAGGTAAGCTACCTTGATTCTATTTCTGTGGTCGGCATCCCAGTAAATTTCATTAAATGCACCTCGTGAAGAACCTATTTTACTTAGACTTCTTTGTCAATGGGAGAATGGTGGTGCCCTTGACGGTAATGTGGAATTTTGAGAGGAGAGGTGGGTTTGGGTAGAAAGATAAGGAGTTCTGTTTTAGATATATTGAGTTTGAGATGCTTTTGGGAATCTAGTTTAACATGTCTAGGAGACAGTTCATGATCATGAGATTATAGGTTCACAGGCTTAGAGCCAGAAGGGAGCTTAGACACAGTTGAGTATTATTCTTCCATTTTACAGATAAGGAAATTAAGGCAGAGTGCAGATAAGGGAGTTTCCCATGGTCACAAAACTAGTAATGCCTGAGGTGGGATTTGAATGTGGGTCTTCCTGACTCCAAGTCCAGTGCCCTAACCATTATGCCATGATGACTTGGGAGACTTGGGGCTGGATATATAGACCTGCTATAGAGATGATAATTGCATGCATGTGAGCTTATGAGATCACCAAATGAGATGGTAGGGAAAAAAAAAGAATGGGGCTCAGGAAAGAGCTTTAGGGGCATAATGTGGGTAATGGCACAGCAAAGAAGATTGAGAAAGGGCAGTTAGACATGAAGGAGGAAAACCAAGAGTGACTGGTGTCATTGAAATCTAGAGAAGAGGGTATGTGGGAGGAGAGGGTAGTCAGCAGGGTTAAATATTGCTGAGACTACTGAAAGGGTGAGGACTGAAGAAAGATGCTTAGACTAGGCAATTAAGAGATCACTGATAAGTTTGGAGGTAGCAGTTTCTGTTGAATTGTGGGGTCAGAATCTAGAACAATTTGTTAATCACTGACTTCTTTTCCACTTCAGTATACCACTGCTTGCACTAGTATCTCAGTGTGGAATTTTAACACTATCATTTTGGAATGTGAATAAGTGTTTTAAACATAATCTACAAAAAAAGAAGCCAGTTGGGGAAGCTAGGTGGCACAGTGGATAGAGCTGCAGCCTTGAAGCTGAGTTCAAATCTGGCCTCAGACACATGATATTCACAAGCCATGTGACCCTGGGCAAGTCACTTAACCCTGATTGCCTTGCAAAAAAAGAAAAAAAGAAAAAGTAAAAAAAGAAGGAAGTGGAAGCGCAAAATGGAGATTTTTTTAGGAGTTTGGCTGAGAATGGGAGGAGAAATATAAGATAAGAAATATAAGATGATGGTGGGGATTGAGTTCAGTTGTTGGCAATAGAGAAAGAATTTATAGATAGGGAAATGGAAAAATGCTTTAATTCTCCAACTTACTTGGCAATACTGGTCAATCAGTATTATGAAGTTGGATGTGCCAAAATTAAATCTTTTTCTTTTCCTCAAAGGGGTCTGTCATTTCCTCCAATGAGTTGTAATACACTAACTTAATTTTAAGTGTCAGTCTTTTCTAAGGTATCCTATGTTTTTACTACATATATTTAATTTAATTTAAATTTATTTTTTAGCAGAGAAAGAAAGATGTCAACGGACGGCGCCTGCAGGATCTGGTAACATCTCATTTAAGACTTAGAACACATGTCATTGGAGAATAAAAGGGAATGTGGCATAACACTGACATGTCCTTTTGAACAAGTGTCATTTGCCCACCTTTACATGAAAGCTTGAGGCCCTGGGGATTTCGTTTGTGGCTATATTCCCTTATTGTAGAATGTGATTGCTTTTTACAGTGTAAATTCAGAACCACTGAACATAAGACACCACTCATTATTTTCGTCTTTGCCCAAATAGCCAGACCATGGGCTCATCCTATAGAATGTCTGGTTTCCAATGGACAGTTTGTATTCCCTGGGGTTTGGAGATATGATTAAATTCCCTCAGAATGCTAATTAATCTCTTTATTGTTCTGAAGCAAATAGAACTTTTGATATATATGACCCTATAGTTATGTGTCCTCCAAAATTTTCATTTATTTATGTATTCATTCATGTTACTCATTCATTCATGTATTTTTGCATTTATTTCACCAGAGAAAACTTCTACAAGAGAGAGCTATCCATTTACGCTACCTGGTAAAATTTCTTTTAAGATTTGAAACAACTGAATGAAAGAGAATGTGGTACAATAATATTCTTTCTCAGTAGTAGCTGAGAATACAGTATTCTATAAGGGTAACACAAAAAGATGTGATTTGGAGGATTTAGTTCATGTCCATGCCCATTGAGTATTAACAGTAGTTTAAGACCAGTAACTAAAGTAACAGAAATAGTCAAGGCAAATAGACTTTTAATTTGGGCTCCTAATGCTGTTATCTCAACTAAATCACTCATTCTGGCTATAGAAAGGTGCTTTATTTAGAGGTAGTTACTATAGTCTTCCACTATCCTTTGGTGATAGAGATTTAATCAATCACGAATTTAACTTGATTTTAAGCCATAAAAGTAAAACGTTCTGTAAATATATACACATGTTAATGTAAAATTATCTTTCTCTTTTTCTCAGGAGTCTCTTTATCATCCTATTGAGGTGAGATTTATTTATTTAATTTAAATACTAAGTATTTAAAGTATGTTATTTAAAATGTCTTGGATTTTTACAATATGTTTTTTCTTTTAGCTAATAAAACCTCAAGAGTACAGAGAATTATTCATGGTAAGATTTCATTTAAGACAGAACAAAATGTTGGTAATCAATGAAAAGAAATTTGCCAGTATATTTCTCCTTTCTTCTCCGTAATACAGATTTGTCCACTCAGATCCTGACAAAAAATCATGTAATCCTGAATAGTTCATTTGTGATTCTATTCATTCATGTTGAAGTTTGTTTACCATAGCCATAAGACTATAGTCTCTTACTCACTTTACATCCATCATTGTCCCAACTTTCATCTTCTCCAAGTTTTTGACCTTCTTGTCAGTTGTTTATTTGATCTGGGAAGATAGTGATTCATTTTCTCCTAAGTGTGATAAACTCTTTTTTTCTAAGGCAAGTAACCCTTTGTCTATCTGTCAGTCTTCAGGAAATCAAAACCAAACCAAAGCAAATACCACCATCACCGCAATACCACCATCACCATCACTACCACCCAAAACAAGCAAATGAACAATCGAACAAATCAAACCATATTCCATCCTTTTAGTAATTGAACTGGACTCTCCTTGGCCCTCACTTAACCAGATAATCATTTGACTCTCGCTCAGAATTCTCCTTGATCTGTATTGAAAACCAAGTTTTCCTAATTCCAGGTCCAGCACCCTATCCATTTACTAATAATAATTAATAATAATATAATGTTAGCTAACATTTGCATAGAGCTTTAAGGTTTGCAAAGTTCCTTACAAATATCTCATTTTATCCTCACAATAATCCTGGTAGGTAGGCATTATTATAATCCTCATTTTATAGATAAGACACTTAGACATATGTGATTCTGCTCTTCTCCGGTAATGGCATCTCTCAGCAGTATATCCTCCCACATGAGTCTGAGTGCACTGTTACTGCTGTTTCTTCTACAGCAGGGACAAGTAGGAAGGGCAGCTTTCACCATCAGTTGGGATAAGTAATTTAATCATGAGAAACATCTCAGTGTGGGGGAGGGGAAGCAGGTCACTTTATTAAATTTTTTTTTTTAAGTAAAACCTTTCTGGCCATAGCAGGGAAGTTTTCAGTGAATGTCTAGTCTACTGGTCCCCCATTAGAATATGAGCTCCTTGCCAGCATGGGCTGTTTCATTTTTGTCAGCACCAGGGACAGGGTCACACAGATGGGAAGCATCTGGGGTCAGATTTGAACTCAGTTCTACTGCACCACCTAGTTGCCTCTGTCATTTTAGCCCTCTCAAATGATTTCTAATGTTTCCCATTTATGTTTCTATTAGAAGGGAAATACCTCCAAGATATCTACTATATTCTAGACTGTGGATTTTAAGAAAATCTGATGAACTAGATTTTCTCAGGGTGCAGATGGTTATTACGCATTAACCTGCTTAATAAATAATCAGTTTCATGCTCCTTATATGTGTGGGAAGAGGGTTCTCACCTCTTTTCAAGAAAAAAAATGCTTATTTACTAGGTTTCACATGGAAGTTTACTTTCTCTTTCCATTTAATAAGGAAATTGGCCATCCCAGAAACAAAAGGTTAGTACATTAATACATGAGCTAGGGAAAATATGATGTGAGAAGAGGAATATTGATCTGTACTATCTGGAGATCTTGACCAAATTATTTTGGATCTCAGTTTCTGTGTCCATAAAATTGGGTGAATAATACTCTTGCCACTTATCTCTCAAGGTTGTTGTAAGGAAAAAGTTATGAAAATTGTAAAGCCAATGCATAAGCAAGCAGTTCATGGTGAATTACAGTGACTAAATTATTTCCCCTTTTTTCCTCTTTAAAATTACTGATGAAATCATCTTGCATTATTGTATCAACAGCCGAAATTCTACTACCCATATGTTCCAGTTTCCATGCCACGGCTTCCCCCTTATTCAGAAGAAGCCTCTGTCCCTCCTATCCGCAGTGCCCCACGATCTTCTATCAAAAGGGCTACTGAAGCAGACTTTACCCATTCTGAAGAGAAGGTGAGTTCCTCTTAATTTATTACACCTCAATACAACTATCGTTTGAATATATGCTACAGATAATAAAAGGATTGAAAACTTATGAAAATACAAAAGAAAGCATATTTAGAATAGAATCAAAGGTAAAAATTTCTTGTAAGAGTGAAAGCAACCTTTGGTCCTTGGCTAAGTCAAGGTAAGCTACTGCAAGGTTGCTGGCCCATACATGATTTCCATTTAGGATTTAGTTAAGTTTAAGGAGTTGGAATTTTTATGGAGAATCCATCTAGGAATAAAATTCTTTGAGGAGGGAGAAAAAAGATCTCCTTTCAACTTATAAAGTTCAAACTAAAGACATAGGGTAAGGGTATTCTACTGGAAAAGTAAAGCTGATCCATCCTATATATCAACTACTCTCTGAATTTCATCCCCAACACCAACACGTAATTTGATTTAGTTCAATTTGTCTTTATTAAGTTCTTAAACAAAGGAAAACTCTTTTCTAGGCATAGAAATAAAGTTAATCAGTCAGTCAATAAGCATTTATTATTCACTTATTACGTGCTAGGCATTGTGTGGTGGTGGGCAGGGGAAAGACAAAGAAATGCAAAAAAAGTTCCTGACTTTAAGAAGACAACATTCTAATAGGGAAGTGGCATGCAAATAACTTTATACAAATGATATGTATATGGAGTGAATCGAAGGTGATTTCAGAGGGGAATGGTCATGGTAGGGGAAGAAGGTTCTTGCAGAAGACAGAATTTAAGCTGATCCAAAGAAATTAAGAGATGGATTTAAGGAAAGAGAAAATTTCCAAGGCAAAGATATGGAGTCTGGAGATGGAATATCATGTTTAAGAAACAAGAAGTAGGTCCGTGTAGCTGAATCATAAAGTTCATGGAGAGCACTAAGGTATAAATATACCAAAGAGATAGGAAGGGACTAGGTTGAGAAGGGCTGGCTTTAAATGTCAGAAGATTTTACATTTTATCCCAGAATTAATAGAGAGTTTATTGAGTGACATGGTCACTCTAGGAAAGTCACTTTGGCAAGTAAGTAGAGGATGGATTGGAATGTGAAGAGGCTTCAAGCAAAGAGAGCAAATAAATTTGGGGGCAACCAATTTTTCTTAACTTGACCAAACTGCCAACTCTTCCCAATCTTGCTACGTAGAAGGAAACAGAATGTTGAGTTGTTTGTAATGGTACATTAGGTCTCCACTGTTTAAATTTTTTAAATTTAAATTAAAAAATTTTTCCTGTTCTATTTTCTATTTTTGTTGTTTGTATTTACTTCTATAATAATGAATGTTTTTCTTTTAGAAGAATTAAGAAGAGCTTTCCAGATCTCCCTCTCTCCTAGTCCTTGGTAAGTCACTTATCATTTGGTCTTATGCAAGGCATCAAATTCAATTTTTATATCACAAATATATGCAAAGGAAAATACTTTAAAAAACCTTGTATGTGCTACTTATATATTATATTTTAATCTGTTATCATTTAGGAGATTATCAAACGAATACTTTATTAAATATATATTCATTATATGTTGTTGCTAATGTATTCATTAAACTGAAGCTTTGGGATTCACTATTGCATTATGCTTAAGGTATAATTTAAATGCGTATTGAATTTTGTTTTAATCTATCAATTTTATACTAGATACAATTTTTAAAAATGGTGCTGAGGTGCACTAGTCAATTTCCTGGGATATGTGATTCTGCGCTTCTCTGGTAATGGCATCTCTCTGCAGTATATCCTCCCGCATGAGTCTGAGTGCACTGTTACTGCTGTTTCTTCTACAGCAGGGACAAGTAGGAAGGGCAGCTTTCACCATCAGTTGGGACAAGTAATTTAATCATGAGAAACATCTCAGTGTGGGGGAGTGGAAGCAGGTCACTTTTATTTAATTTTTTAAAGTAAAACCTTTCTGACCATAGCAGGGAAGTTTTCAGTGAATGTCTAGTCTACTGGTCCCCCATTAGAATATGAGCTCCTTGACAGCAGGGGCTGCTTCATTTTTGTCAGCACCAGGGACAGTGCCTGGAACATGATACTGTGCTTAGTAAGTACTTGGTGAATGAGATCGGTTAGGAGGCACCAAAGTGTATAGAGTGCTGGGCCTGAAGTCAGGAAAACTCTTCTTCCTGAATTCAAATCTGGCCTCAGACACTTACTAGCTGTGTGACCCTGGGCAAATCAATTATCCATGTTTGTCTTAGTTTCCTCATCTGTTAAATGAACTGGAGAAGGAAATGGCAAAACATTCCAGAATCTCTGCCAAGAAAATCCTAAATTGTATCACAAAAATCAGACGTGACTGAAATGACTCAATGATAACAGGAATGGAATCCGATCAAGGTTAAAATTGTCCAATAGCTTTTCTCTAATTTAAATGCTCCTATGTAGGCATTGGGAATTACCAGAATTCCTTAGTATTTGTAACTAGAGAAAAAAATTGTTCAACATGGTAGCTCAGGGAGAAGAGTCTGCTTAAGAGTGGAAGTCATATCAGTTGTGTTCCTTGGAGGGAGTGACCAAATAAACGAACAGACAGATCTTTTGAAGCATTGAGATATGCCAAAGCTGAAATGTTAACTCCAGGTTAAATTGCATTTTAAAGATCAGGTTTTAGAGACAAATGTTTGGTAGAAACAGTAAATAGCTTTAGTAATGAGCTGTATTTATTCAAATATTGTATTTAAGTTTTTGAAAAATTTGCAAGAACTACAGAGCTAAGAAAAAATTCTTATTTGAAGGATGCTGCTTAGAAGATGAGCAGCAGAATATATATATATATATATATATATATATATATACACACACACACACACACACACACACACACACACACACACACACATATATGTATATACATATCTGTATGTATGTTTATACATTCTCTCTCTCTCTAAGACTGGGTGTCCCTGTCTCATCCAGACGACAAGTATAGTGACCACTTACAGTCCTGATCCCAGCTACTGATCTGCATGGGAGGTTTGACCTGCTCTGTTTTTGGCCTGGTCCAGTCTGTCCCTCTTTAAGTAGGCTTGGGGCCCTCCCACTCCCTCGGGGCCACTGTATTGGTGCCAGGCTTAGTGAAAATGCCTGATTGACTGACTTTAGCCTCATTGCAGCTCAGAACTTCTGAATTCAAGTGATTCACTAACCTCAGCATCCCCAGTGACAAGGATTACGGGCATAGGCAGCAGCAGCAGAATCAAGTGCCAAATAGAAAATAGTGGTAATGTTAGGCAAAATACATATGGGACAAATATTCTTTTGGAATAGTCTGATTTTTCTTGTAACCAAATCTTTTCCCAAAAGTTGAAGATGTCTAGAACCCCAAACCTAGTGGACTAAAGCAGATTGTGAGGAGAGTGGATTGGCTTTGACTTAGCTCAAGCTATTTACAAATCAATTCAGTTCATTTCACTTCATTTTGGGTGTGAGGAATAGAACAAAAAGCACTGGATTCGGATTTAAAAATATTGGATTTAAAGGGGCAGCTAGGTGGTGCAGTGGACAGAGAGCTCTGGTTTTGAAGTCAGGAGGACCTGAGTTCAAATCTAGCCTCAGACACTTGACACCTTAGTAGCTGAGTGACCCTGGACAAGTCACTTAACCCCGATTGCCTCACCCCCCCACAAAAAAAAGCAAAAACCAAAACAAAACAAAGCAAAAAAAATTGGATTTAAATCCTGACTGCCACTTTTTACCTATGTGACCTCGAACAAGTTATTTGCCCTCTTGTGGCCTCGGGGTGTCCATCAGTAAAATGAGAGGATTAGGCTGGATGATTCAGTTACTTTCAATAAACTTTTATGTATGCCAGGTACTATGCTGGCTACTGAGAATAGTAAGAAATAGAGAAGCAAATATAAAAATAGCTTACGTATAAAAGAGCACTCAAATAATTGTCCAAATATGTAATCAATCACCAATCCCTCAGTGATAAAATTTGAGCTCAACAGCCTTGGTGTTACTTTAAACCAATACTGAATGACTCTGAAAATATAACATCATAAATTTAGAGCTGAAAAGGATCTGAGGGTCAAATCCAACCCTTCATTCTACAGATGAAGAAACTGAGTCACAGTGAGGTTAAGTGACTTGCTCAGAGTCGCAGAGCTAATGTCAAAGGGGGGATGTGAAACAAGCTCTTCCTGACTCCAAATCCAGGGCCCTGTCCACTACAGCATAATGCCTCTTTAAATAAAGTTGGATTAATTTCCATTTGCATAAGAAATCCAAGTGCAGAAGCCATAATGCCTTTTCTGTTTCCTGCTCTGTAACTGTGAAAGAAAACAGTTGATGTCAAGACCAATGACTTAGTTTCCCCCTAGTGATAACTAGGAGTGACAGGCAGCAAATACATATTAGAAAATTCTGTGTTATATGACATTATCTTCCAGCCACAAATAATGGCAATCATTAATGCTGAATTTCTCTTTTTATTCACAGTTCTGACTGAAAATTCCAACCTCTTTATGGGATCTGTCTTCTATTGGTGTCTACAAATAACATCATCCTATGCAGGAAATTTGATGTTCATTATTGAATGAAAAAACAAAAGCAAAGCAAAACTCAGGAGAGTGGAATCTTTCTCTGATGTATACTACATGGCATTATTCCTCTTAATCAAAATTTGATTTAGAAACTCTCTTTCCTATGTCCCACTTTCAGTCCTGACAAGCCAGGTGAAGGGCATTCTAGTATGGACACATTATTTATAGGTACCAAAGCTTTTGCTATGTTTCTGTAAAGGGAATTTATAAGAACGAGTCTTTGAATTATTTAATTTCTTAGCACTTCTCCTTCTAGCTACTGTGTAATAAAGTTTTCCTTTTTTCTTGCTTTTAATAAATTACTTATTAAGGCACCATCATATGTGGCCTACAGTTCATTTTATCTAATCCTGATGCCTCATCTAAGATGCTTACAAAAAAAGTGACTTTGGGATTAAAAAAAAATACAATATAAAGGAGACCCAAAAGATGGCTCATGAGGAATATAAATATGATGTTTGGCTCTGTACTATTGGAAGCCTGCCTATTCTTCTAGTCCGTGAAAAATGCCACTACCTTCCTGAAGTTTTCACATATTCACCTCTTTGGATTCATGATATCTTGCTTGTCTATTTCTACCACCATTTTGAATATAGATATTTTGTTTTCCCTGTGATTAGAAGGTTATCAAGGGCAGGGACTGGGACTGGGATTGGGGCATTCACTTTTGTAGCTACTTCTGGAGTTAGAATACTGCTGTGAATATCATTAGGGATAGAATGATGAGATCATTGATTTAAAGATGGAAGGGTCCTTAGAAGACATTGAATCCAACTCAGTTTATAGATTAGGACTGAGATCTGGAGAGACTAAGTCAAGTCAACACACATTATTAAGTGCCTACACATGCCAGGCACCATGCTAAGCACTGGGCATACAAAGAGAGAATGCTTTCCCTGCTGTCAAGGAGCTCGTAATCTAATGGGAGGAAATAACATGCAAACAATTGTGTACAAACAAGATATAATCAGGACAAATTGAAGAAAATCTTAGAGGGAGGACACTAACACCAAAGGAGACCATGAAAGACTTCTGGCAGAAGTTGTGATTTTAGTTGAGACTTGAAGGAAGCCAGGAGGTGGAGCTGACAGGGGACAGAATTCCAGGCATGGCTGAAAGCCCTTGAAAATGAAAGGTATGGGAGATGGAGCACCATGTTTGAGGAAAAGCAAGGGGATCAGTGTCATTAGATGGTAGAGCATAAGAGAGGAAGTAAGGTGTGTGAAGACTGGAAAGGTAGGAAGGGGCCAGGTTATAAAGATCTTTAAAGGCCAAACAGAAGATTTTATATTTAGATGAGGATTGAAAAAACACCATTAGATTTGGCAATCTAGAGATCCTTGGTGACTTTGGAGAGAACAATTTCAGCTGAATGTTGATTTTGGAAGCTGGACTGTAGAGAGGTGGAAAGAGAGTGAGCAGGAAGGAAATTGATGCACTGATTGTACACAACCTTCTCAAGGGGTTTAGTCATGAAAAGGGGGAGAGATATATGACAATATCTATCTGGAATGCTGGGATCAAGTGGGGGTGTTTTTTGAGTGTAGAGGAGACTTGGGCATGTGTAGGCAGTAGAGAAATAGCCAATAGATAAGAAGAGATTGAAGATTGTTGAGAAAGTGGGGATGATAGCTGGAAGCAATTTGCTGGAGAAGATGGGATAGAAAGGGATCACTTGTTCAAGCAGAGGAATTTTCCTTCACAAGGGAAGGGGCCGTCTCCTTATGTGCATCACAGGTAAAGGAGGAGATAGAGGGTGAAGGCATCTGATTGGTGGGAAATGAGGAAGATGAGAGAAGAGAGAGCGCTAGGTGAATGCCTTAATTTTCTTCTGTGAAATATGATCTCATCTGAGAGGGTGAGGGGCAAAGCCAGCCATGGAAATTTTGAGGAGGGATGAAAGTAATTTGTCCTGGGTCACATAGTGAGGTTAGTATCTGAGGCAGGATTCAAATTGAGGTATTTCTGACTCTGAGTCCAGCATTCTATTTACTATGCCACCTAGCTGCCTTTGAGGGAAGCTTCAGGGTAAGGATCTGGCCTGAACCTGTGATTTCATTGGTGCAGAGAAATCCCAGATAAGGAAACTCCTTTTCCCTTATGACCTAGCCCTGTTCTTCACTGCGATCTCCAATCCCTGCACCCTTCAGTTCTTCCCAAGCTACATCATCTCTCTTTTCTTCCTGATCCTTGACTCTTTTTGAATCAGTACATCATCTTCTATGCCTTTTGTTCTCTTGTTTTATTGCTGATTATGTCTTATCAAGCACCAACTTTGAATTACTCTATGCCACTTTCAATTAAATTCAATTGCTGGTGAATGGAATAAAAGCAAGTCACAATATCATAGTGACTAGCTCTGCAACAAATTTATATCATACAATTTCCAATGGGCTCTCATGGCAACAAGGCAATCCTTTGACATCTCCCTAATCATTCTGTCTCTCACTCACCACAGTGACCATTCTAAGCCTTTTCATTCCTCCTCAGACATCTGACACTACCCTTCCACCCCCTCAGCTGAAGACTTGGCCTTCACTGAAAAAAATGGTGGCCATTTGGAGAGCTCCCTCTCCTTCCCTCATTCTTATCTCACATCATTCAGATGTCTTCGCTTACCCCCGTCACTTAAAGACATGGCCCTTCTCTTTGACAAGACAAACCTCTCTACATGCATCCTTGATCCCATTCCATCCTGTCTCCACTCTCTTTTTTTCAATGAGTTCAATTCCTGGCTCAGAATCTTTTTCTCCTCCCCAAGCCCTGCCCTCATTCTATTGATATTCCCTGAAGCATCCTTACCTTCCATTCCTCAATTTACTAATTTTCTATGATCTATTTCTCCATCCCACCTCAGCTACATACAGTCATATCCTTGATCTTGCCATTATCTTCTTTCATCTCAATTGTCATCATTCCACCTCTCCCTCTTCCTTCAATCCCTAACCCTGTTCTTTGACCTCATTATGTCCTTCAATCTTCCTTCCCATGCCATCATCTCCTGCAATCATTCTACTATCCCCACTTCTCTATCTTGACCCTTTGCTGGACCAGTTCAATTCTATAATACTGCCTTCTCTAAAGTCACTTACCCACTTATCCTATCATTGATCTTGCTCTGTTAATTCTCAGCCTTGGATTACTCTCACCATTTCCCTCCTTCATTTCTACTTATATGCTGCTGAATTAAACTGGGGAAAATCATGAAGCCAAGCTGACCAGGTCCACTACAAATTTTTGTGGAATAGTGAGTCCTATTGCCAAGTTCCTCCATTTTTTCTCAGCAGGAAAGATATTGTTCAGCTATCTCCTGCTCATGGCCTTTAGGACTTCATTTCTACCAGGATTTATAGCCAATTATAAAGCTAGATATTCCAGTTTTCATCTCATTTCCTAAATTCTAAAGCAAAAAACCCACATTTTTTTGTTTTGAATAAACTATTCAAGTTCTCAATACTTATTCATCATTTGGCTGAGATTTATAAAACCATAATGAAGTTGTCAAGTGTCAACTTAAGAGCATTTGTTCTTATTGTTGAATAGCAGAGAAAGGTCCATCTTTTAGTCTGAAGAGGTGCACTTTCTCTCTTCACCAGATTAACTCTCAAATCATCTGGAACAGTATTGGCCAAGCAATGGTATTAGAATAAATTAAAATATCATCCATCAAAGTCTTGGTCTTGGTCTTTGATAGCGTATCTTCCATCTCCATTATTGTTCTTATCCTGTTGTGGTTACTTTTGTTAACATTTCCTTTCTTTTCGGTTCCTTATATATAGAACTTATATATGATTCACTGTCACTTTTTAGCTCCTTGTCATTTGAATCTTATGTTGCTTCTAGATTGGGTGCTTTGAATGTGCTAGCTTGCATTTCTTCAGAATTTTCATTACCAATACATGATATTGAGGGCATTAAATATTTACTCAAAATATATTGCTCACAATGAATCGATCTCCTAATCTTTTGCTTTTTAAATTTTTCTTTATTGAGCTCCACTGGGTCAGTCAGTCAACAAACACTGATTAAACACCTACTATGTGTTAGGCACTGTGCTAAGCAATGGAGATACAAAGGCAAAAAAAAAAGTCAATGTTCTCAAGGAGTTTACAGTTTAATCAGGGAGATAACATGAAAACAATCATATACAAACAAGCTATAGAGAGGATAAAGGGAGTAAATTAATTTTTTATTACTTAATCTCAAATGGGCTTTTCATGTAGCAAAGCAATCCTTTTATAGATCTTCAATTAATTCAATGAATATTTACACAGAAAAATGATGAATACCAGGAGAAATGATGAAAGATGCTGGTCTTATATTGTCAGAATAAATCAAAAGGGCAATGTTTGAATTCCTCAATCATTTTCACCAACAACTAGTTATTTGTTCTAAAGCAATGGATAACATTATGGTAATACTCATTATCACTTAGCCCTTTTCTCTGATTTCTGCAGAAGAAGAAATTTTTTTTTGACATTTTAACCAAATATAATAGAAATTCATGATAAATTTTCTACTTTAGTAGACACTTTTTGTCTATGGAGACATTTGAAAGCCATTAGAATCAATTCCAAAGAAAGAAAGACATGGACAGTATTGAAATTTCTGGAATTTATCACGAAACAGGATTTTTATGAATCTTAGTCCAACTTATTCTTATGTGTAAGACTTTTTTTTTCCTAACTCATCGTGTATCTATTGCTTCATTTGAACTAAATGTTTCCAAATTAAAATTAATAAAAAGTCTTTAAGTATGAGTGAGACAAATTTGTCCATTGAATATACTGTCTATTGAATATGAATGAATAAAGATCTATTTTGAAGAAATCATTGACACATTTGCAGAAGTTACAATTCTAAAACAGAAACTATAAAGTTATTATTCATAATGGTGACAGGCCAACATATAAATGTAATTTAAAAAATACGCTAATGTAATTTAGAAGTATCAATTTGTTACCTTTCCTTTTTTTGCACTTTAACATTTATTTTATCTCTTTTTAATATATTTTATTGGTATGATTTTATATTTTTAATATATTTTATTGGTATGATTACATATACAAAGTTCAGTAAAGTTCAGTAAAAATTTTCATTGTCTACATTTCTATTTTAGCCATTATTATTTGTTACATTTCATAAATATTATTGAAATCAATTTTGTTGCATAGATAATGAGGGTGTTAACAAAGTATTTCTCTTTGAGTATCAAATACTTTAGGTATATTACTGATTTTATGATCCTCCAATAGATAGAGATCCATTGGTATGAGGAAATTCCCTCTGTTTTTTCCTTTCTTCCTGTCCCTAGTGATTA